TCATGACGAAGCTGTTCATTGTCGAGCATTTTCTTGTAGTATTCGGCGTTTCCGGTTAGAGCCTAATTTTTCGGCACTTAATGTGGTGATATTCACCTAGTCATCAATCAAATCTTCAAACTCGAACCAGGGTAATTGTCCATCGAATACCTATTGATGGCTGTACCTCGTACGTCCGGTATGTCGAACTCGAGGACCCTCTATGCTGTTGGCGATGACGCGAACCTTGAGCTGCGAAAGCTTCTTCTGGATCTGTTACTTTAGATAGGTCGCTATTATGCTCTTCGTCCGTATTTATATTAAAGATCTGAACTATGGGCTATTTGATGACAAGTAACTTACTTGGTTGTCCCCTGTCCGGAATATCGGACGATTCGGCACAAAGGCAAAATCGATTAATGCGAAGCAGGAGACACAAGCTCCGCTACCACTTTGAGGGGTGAATTCCCCTAGAAGTGGCAATTGGATAACTGGACCTGATCGAAACACCAAGCAAGCAAACAAGTGCGGTCGGTGTGCGAGCTGCGGCGAAGCACACCTTTTCTATCGCAGTGAACGCAGTACTGGGCTGCTAAGTCTTGAGCCAAATAAATTATGTCGAAAGCGGATTGAAGAATTACAGATTAATATATATATACAAGGACAGGTACTTCACAACTATAACGTAGACACGCCTAGGGGGGACTTAGGACCCTACTAAACACCTCCCCCCCCCCCCCCCTCCCCCCCGCCTTTACCTCCCCCTTCGGACGCCTCTAGGACATTTTTCGGGCATTTCTTATGGCATCTACTTTGGCTTAATTCTTCCGGGATACGGTGCAACAGATTTAATAAGCTCACAGGTTCGTGAATACATCGGATGCATCGAACAGTGTGGCAACATCTAGCCACGCTTCCTTAATTATCGGAAATTTTAATTCTAAGGTTGGTTGTGTTATTGTTGTTCGTGTGTCTTATATATTCACAACGTTTTACTTTATGAGCATTTGCCTCACTCCGCTTGATATCCGACTAATTCGGATGCACCCCCTGCTAGCTTTCGTCACCTACCCTCGGCCTTAAGTATGTAATCCGTAATGAAAGATGACAAGAAATTTTTTACGACAATAAATGGCAATTAAATCGAAATCCTGCATTAATTTAACAAATAAATCTAAACATACCTAAAAAACATATATATACTAAATATAAAATATAATTTATAGGTATATTAAAATCACCGCAAATTAAGATTATATGCCTTTAGGATAGATAGGCGAAATATTGCCTCTAAATATATCGTTTTTAGAAAATATTTGGCGGACATCATATTAAATATCTGGCCTATTAATATATAATGACCATATTCATTAGGCTACAAAAATGCAAGCGAATCTAAAATAAACGGCCCGGAATATAAGAAACCACTAAAAAATATTTCTTACGTACAATAACGAATCTAAACCCAATCAATATCGATGCAAAACGAGCAATGGTCCCCGGCTTGCTGAACACGGATGCTTCCATGTTTGGAAAATAATTCAATTGGTAGGTTTTTCTTTTTTTTTTCAGGCAAGGCCAAAATTTCATTAGGTCGCAAAAAAATTACGCCATCTAGAAAAACATCGTTTCTATTTATTATAACCATTCCGAACTTGAAATTCTTCCTATTCTTTTTCCCCATTGCCATTAATAACGTCTTTATTCCTTAGGTTCAAAAAATCGATCACGCCTTTAAAAAATTTATATTCAATTAATATAAATTATACGAATACATCAATATATCATCTACCTTTTGTTTAGGTATTACGACAAATAATACACGAAATAACGGAATTACAAACAACATTAATATAATGCTTTCTAAAAAACAATAAAAAATAATCGATAAATTGCAAAGATTAACCAAAGAATCGGCAATCCTTCATTTGTTTGGTGCCAATTAAAATAACAAATATAAACAAAAACGAACAACTCGACAATAATAAAATTAGCCGAAATATAATTTTTATTTAGTATCATTTATTATTAAACATATTTTATCCCAAAAAACAACGTAAATATTTTCAACATATAATAAATACATTCAATTAAAAATATATAGAAATCAAAATTAATACAAATACGAATATATCAATTAATACAATACGGACACTAATAATTAAATCTATACCCAAAACATCCGCAACCCCAACCAAGAAGAAAAAATTCCCAAAAAAATTAAGAATAGGGCTAATATAAACCAAAACCAAAAGCACTAAAAAACCAAAAACAATATTATTCTAAAAGCTAAATATTCTAAAAATATAATCAATATATTAAATTAAATATATATAAAAATCAATATCAATATAAATATCAATATATAATATCTTTAAATAACTATAAATATAATCTAAATTCATTAATAACCAAAACTTATATATTTTCGCAATAAAATAAACAAACAATAAAACTTAAGAAGAAAAAGACACGAAAAACAAAAACACAATATTCGACATAATAATTTATCCCCTTAAAAACGACCTTTCCTAAATATATATTTATATACACTTTAAATATTTTATATATTTTCGAAATATTCAAAAAAATGGTTAAAAAAACAAATTAACCCCATAATTCAAATCATCGATAAGCATTGTATCGGAACATCATAAAAATTAAATTATCCTAAAACCATAAAAATTTCATAAAGACGCTCCCCAAGAAAAATTAATGTGCTTCACAAAATAAATTCTAAATATATATCCCCTCGAAAAACATCTTTCGTAATTAAAATTTCATATTCACTCTTTTTAAATATTCAAGAAAATTTCAACTATCCTAAAATTACAAATATTTTCGAAAACAATTTCCAAGAAAAAAATACTTTTACGAAAATACATTTCGTAATTAGAATTTCATATACATTTTTTTCTAGCGGAAAATTAAATTTTAGAAAAAAAAACTATATAAAAAAATCAATTCCAAAGGGAAAGAAAAAATCGATATTAAAAAATCAATTCGAAGAGGAGGAGTTAAATTTAATATTTAGTTATTAGACCCGGATTCGTCGACACTTGCTTCGCAAATCAAACTCAAAATATTCCCTAAAAAGCTATCTTTCGTAATATCCAAATTATTCCTCCTCATCCCTAAAAATAAAAAATCATCGTACCCAATATAAAACAAAGATTTTTTCGAATAAAATAAACCCATATCGCCTAAATTTAAACCAAACTTTACAAATCATCAAAAACAAAAATCGCAAAAGCCAACAATCAATTATAAATATATACTATTCCAATTTCTATCAATATATATTACGAAAATATAAAAAGAAATACATCCAATATTTCCTTTCTTAATCTGTCAATAACGCTTAATTTCAAACCCATATATATAATACAATATAAATATATAAATCATATTCACGTAAAATTAACATTCGAAAACCATCTACAATATTCTTAAGAATCGACAAATTTTAAGAAATATTCAAAAATATAATATATAAATTCTTTCCTTTTGACATCATTAAAACGTTAATCATCTTTAATATATACCATATACAATAAATAAAAATAGATACGAATTATCGTTACCGTTTTTATAATTAAATATATATATATATATATATGCGCCATCATCGTCCTGTGCCCTCCCCCGGCGGTCCACACTTTTTCTGGCTTCCACCCTGGTCAAGTAAGGTGTCTCGAAGGGCGGTAGGAAGTGGCCACCTGAGCTTCGAACGAAAGGCCGGCAGGCCAAGCAAACCTCAAAAGGAGGGCAACAACTTCCAACTTTGAACCGGGCCAAAGGCGAAGTCCTTGTGCACCGAGGCCAAGGATGGCCATTATGGACCTTTGGCAGTGCGGCAACGAGGAAAACGACTCAAAAGAAAAGGCAGTACATTAGCCGCTTCTGCAATTGCTTTGCGAGAGCGCGGCTCAAGATCGGGGATCACTGAGGACGCTGTGACTTCTTGCAGATAGCTTTCCAACGTTGACTGGTGGCGAACTCTCATCCTCCACATGAGAAGACTGATGTCCATCGATTCTTGAAAAGCTCTGACACATCCTCCAGCTCTGAGCCCTCCGGGGGTCAACCCGGCAGATTTGGGAATAAACAATGCTTTAAGCAATGCATCCCATCGCCTACGAAAGGCAGATGGTGAGGCGTTGAAAATCGGCTGGTCAGCTTCTATCGAACCAAAAACTGAAAACAGAAAATCGAAAAACTCTCGGTCACGAATCGAGCTATGCTGAACACGACCGGTCCCACGCTTTCTGCTTTTTGGTCGATCGATGATGAGGTAAATCGACTCGCGGTCTGGTTCCAGAGCATCACCTGGAAAGACCACATGCTTCCTGAGGGCACGAAGGGGTTCACCCGGGCGAGTGATCCCGCAAAAAGCTATCGCAATTATGCCTGCAGTTCGTTCCCATCCCCAAAGTAGTGCAGTGCTTACTAATGCTCTGAATATCATTTTGGGAACAGGTGTTCGGTGCTGTGTCGGTTCAAGCAGCTCCCACCTACTCACCATATCCCAAAGAACCGAAGTATACAGCTTGGTTTCAACAAATTCACGCTGCAAGGTCAAGATGAGATGTCTCAACTGGTACAAGGAGCGACCTGACGAGTAAAGGAAAGAAGCATAAGACTTAGCAACTTGCACCAGCAGCGCTGGATGTCTGAAAACACTCTGCTGTGCTCCTTCGGACAACGTCTCCCCCAGCCAACGTACAAACTGAGCGTAGATTGCACTTTGCAATGCTGCAGTTTTTGGTTCAACCAAGAGGACGTCATCCAGTGTCTGCGTTCTGTCTCTCCGAGAAGGTCCCGGGGAAGAAGCTTCCCCAATCCGGCAGTTGCTGATCTTCGCACATGCTGCAGGGTCGAAAAGCCCTTCCCAGCGTCGCAAACCCAGCTTTAGAGCCATGGAGGCGGCCACAGCATAGGCTACCCCTGGAGGGTAGGGTTGAGCCACGAGCGTCCAACTCTTCCGGTGATAGGCGGAACGCCCACGCAACAAGATGTGCTCATGCCCACCAGTACACAGCGTCTTGTGACCCGCAAGCGGGGTGTTGCACACAAAGCGGGTGCGTTTCCGCCATCTCCTGTTGAAGCGGCACTACCCAGCAACCAAGCTCTGGCACTGCTTGTAAAAGCTCCCCAAAAGCTGGTATACGAAACATCCAGGAAGAATGAGGGTTCTCCAACCACACTGCAAGCCCTAGTTGACTCGCTCGTCGTAGCAAGTCGAAGCACCACAACGCAAAGGAATTGCCCTGCTCAATCTTCTGTTGCATCTTCTCTGAAAGGTTAGGCAACCCCATGGGAAAATGCTTGGTCCTGACCGGAGGGGTGATGGCCAGAGAAAAACTGCTGCAAACAGGTCCCATCCCAACTGCAACAAAAGCTCCAGCCTCCAAAGCGCTCCAGATCAACCTGCGGACTTTGGCATCTGACAAATCTTCCGCCGGAGAATGTTCAATGTCAAAACACAGTGCCCATCTCCCAGTCTGTCGAACCCAACTCTCCGCAACGCCTCGCTCCCCACTGAACAAGTCGAGATAGCCAGGCTCCCGGAGTACTCCCCTCCGGGACGGAGGGAAAATGAATTGATCTTCTGGCAACGATTGTAACAACTGTAAGGCCTCAGGCCCCAACTCGCAAATGGGAGAACCTTCAAACTGTTGAGGGGATCTGCTAACTTCGTGGTTCGATCCGGGTACAGCCCTGTCTTGCTTGTCTGGCGGCATTCTGTCGGTTGCACGCAGCTGACGAGGGAGTTCCTTTCCTCCATTGATCTCAGCAAAAGAAGGGATCCCAGCGAGGTCGAAGCCATCCAAACCATTGTCAACCAACCACTGGTCGAATAGGTCCAATCGTCCAGCTCGCACCCACTCCCACCAATCTGGAGGTTCCTTTGTCGGCTTCCTCAGAGGCACCCCCCGAGTAGGGTCGTCAGCCTCACTTCCTGAAGGGGTGCCCTTTTTCACCTCCAACTCCTCCCGGAACCAGAGCAAAAAAGGGCACTACTTTCCATTTCTACCCCTTATCGGTGTGGCTGCGATGTCAACTTCGCCCCATAACATTACTCTTTGCCCGATGTTACCCCATCACTTCCTCTTGCACGCCAAGTCTTTGCCCGGGCCTACCCTGAGAGCACCCCCTAAGCCAGAGGCTGGCATTGGCTCCAGTGTCAGCTCCCTGCAGGGAAAGTTAGTCTAACTGACCTCAAGCTTACGCACCCCAATGTCATACCTCGACGCGAGAGAATTGCAGCGCCCATGCGCTTGGCCTCGTGGATTCGATTTGAAATAGCCATGACAAGCGAAGACTGGGAAGGGGCGATTAGCCTTCTGGTGTCGAACCTCCACCGGTCAGACAAAGACCTTCTCCAATTGCTCCAGCGCTGCGTGGCGGGTCAGCAAATAACCTCCATGGAAGAGGCACAAGCCCTTCTCCTGAAGAACTTTCGAGTCGGCAAAGAGCAGCCAAATGAATGCGCACAATGGCTTACAAAAATGGCCAGAGACTTACTGGCACCAATCCCGTTTCGTGAAGTGTTTGTTTGTCATCTTGGCCCTGTTCCTCCCACAGCTTACGTTTGTAGATGGATTGAGAGCTGACGGAAAGTAGATGCCTTCCGAATACATGTCATCAGCCAGCATGTAGGGCAGCGAGGAAGACAGAACACTGTTTGTGGCAGGAGAGGAACTGCGACCTTTCAGGAGAACAGCTAGAGATAGCTAAAGCAACCTGGGAATCAATAGCATAGATCTCGCGAGAAGACGGTCTCCTGGAACCATGTATTTCTTCTGCCTTCAACACAGCTTGAACTTCACCAATGTTGATATGTCGGGAACGTCGTTTTGCTCGTTTGTGCAACAAAGTGTATTGTAAACACTCCGCCAGCGAAGACCAAACAGGATGCGGTTTGAAAGCAGCTCTGCCGTCCGGCAGCTCTTCAGCAACGTCCAACAACCCTTTTCCCCTCAGCCAAGCTTTAGCTGGTCCGAGCAAACGGGCCCACACGGATTTGCGCAGCACACTTCGGTAGGCCTCCTGAGCCAGGGAGCCCGGCAAAGAGGCGCAGGCACCTGCCTCACCCCAATCTGACGCATCAGTAGCAGTGACCCTCTCGCTCAGCCGAGCACGCAAGTTCGTGGCAGCCAACGGTAAAAGCACCGCAGCAAGCAAAAGATCTGACTTGGTCCGACTGTCCAGTTTGAGAATGGCGTGGCTTGAACAATGCTGGAAAGACTGAAACACTCCATCCAAAATTGACAAAAGCCGCCTGCGATACAAAAACAAGGAAATGATAGCCACTCGAAACAACAAGCCCGCTAAGGGCACTGCTCTTTTAAGTGAGCCCCGTACAATCCCTCTCTTGCCATCAATGTCAGCCCCCCAAAAAGAAGCTTCCTCTTCGTCCCTGAACGACTTCGACGGGCGCGGAATCAACCCCACCCTCTTGTAGGCTTGCTCCATCTGATCTGTGGCCTCAGCAGCTGGTGTAGGCCCTGTACTGTCTGCCTGACAAATGGAGAACCCAACAAAGTCATCGATCACTAAACCAAAGAAATCGGAAACTCTCGGCAGCGGGGTCTGGTAGGTCATGAGGTTATGAGGATGGAGGATTCCGGACTGAACTCCAATCCCCAAATGAGCTGTTTGGCCAAACTCGACCGCCAACGAGTCCCCCATTGCCAAGGATTTCAGGGAGCCATAAACCTGTGTGTAGGCACGAACATCTGCACTGCAAGCTTTCAAACGAGTCAGCAAATTCGTAGGAAGTGCACCGACCAAAACATTCTTCCTTGATCTGCTTTGCGACACCTTAAACAAATAGTAATAGTCCCGCAAATCTGAGCCACTGCACTTCAGGACTTCTCCTTCTCGCAGTTGCAATTTGACCAACGCTTCTCCGCCGGCAAGCGTTCCAATCCAACGACCCGGAGGCTGTTCCAGGAGATTGGCGGGACGTGCGTCCAAGACCAGGCGGTCCTTAGTCAAGTCTTTTGTAACTGCGAAGAGCCCATTTCCAAAACCAGGTGTCACAGCAGCTCGGGGGTGCAGATCAAGTCGCCCCGAAGCATCCAACAGTTCAAACAGTTTTATCTTCGAGGCTAACGAACAGTGCACTCTAACACGTGGTGGCCGTTCAGCACAGTGTCCAGGCTCCAACCTGTTCTCCAGCGGCCTCTCATAAAGTTCTCGACAAATCGGATCCAAAAACGGACGAGGGTCGAAACTCGCGTTTCCTGAGAACGTCAATCGAGCAGGATCAACTGGCTTAAAGGTCGTCAACGGATCGAACGAGAGCTGGCCTACCACGGAACCCCTCCTGTTCTGAGGATCTCCACTTTGAGTGCTAAGTTCAGGACTTCCAAAATACTGACTCCCATCTCAGAAGGACCGATGGGTGAAACACACAACCAAGCTTCAAGAAATTGCTCCATTCGCCTCACAGCTTGCCGCTGCCGCGAACTGAGGCGACGCCCCATGAGAACAGGCGGTTGCAGAGCCCGCCCAGCTGCAAGAAAATTGAGAGCAAAAGTGATCACATTCATTGCCTGCTTGCGCGGCAGATCCTTCCTCGCCAGCTCATCATCTTCTGAAGCAGCAAAGGTCGCCTCCCTATAAGGCAGGGGCATCGGAAACAAACTCAAAGCTGTACCTCCAGACTCTCCAGAGGGCAAACCATCCAGGGTGGAATAAGTAAAAAGAAACACTCTGCAAAAAGAAGAAAACTTGCACCGGCACTTCAAAATCTGTCGGAGCGCTGACTGCAAAATCTTGCACCCGGAGTAGGAAGAGGCCCCCTCCCCCGGAACAACTGTAGGTGATGAATTCTCCAGCCGGCTAGTAGGCCCATCATCAGCCGCAGACCCGACTGCTGTCGGCGGCAGAGCCTCACCTTCTGTCACACTCATGAGCCCGCACCGGGCTCGGATGCTCCTCCACTGCCTCTGCCCTGACCTTTCTTCTTTGGCCTGGGGGGCTTGTCGTCCTTGTCGAGCTCTTTGTCCTTGTCCTTGTCGGATTTGGGGCGCTTGCCCAGCTTGCGCATTGCTTCCTGAACAGCTTCCAGATCTTTCACATGGGCCAGGTACAAGTCGACCCATCTCGGATCGGAGAGCGCGGAAAATTGATGCTCGTTTGGTCCAGGTAGCTGATGAGTACTGAAAGCATGGAAGGGCGGTGGCTGCTCCAACAGGCCTACACCAGCGATCAACCAGTTGCCTGAGTCGATGGCGGATTGATCCGCCGCCGCCACCAGAAGCCCAGCTCGAGCTCTCGCCTCGTCCATCCTGCCAGCTATCAAACAATCCCAAATTGCTCCGACTTGCCAAACCCACCTGACATGGTTGTAATAGAGCTGCACCCTCGATCTTGACGTCAGCCAGCCTCGAACCGAGACCCCTTCTCGCATCGGCTCTCCAGGTGCCACCGGAACAGACATGAAGTCCGCTTGCATGTTGGCCTCGAGAGTCCGCCAGAGATAACCAGGGTTTTCTTTCAGCTGGCGCTGCAGCGCTCTCAAGGCTGCAGCATTCTTCGATCCAAGAGAGCTCGTCTCGGAGCTCCCGGCTGATCCAGCATCTAAAACCTGTTCGATCGTCTGGTCTTTCTTGGGCTTCTTCTCGGTGAGTGCATGAGCTATCTTGGTCAGCTTCAGGAGTGCCTTCTCCATAGGCGCCAAACTTTCGCCAGCTTCCTCGTCTTCGGGCTCCTCCTCTTCTTCCTCTGGCTCGCCATCGCTCTCGGAGAGCGCAGTGGGCGGTCTGGGAGTAGGTCGAGGAGCGTCGTCGAGTCGTTTGGGTTTGGACCCAACCAAGCGATCCATCTCTTGCAAATGACTGCCAGGGATTCCGGCCGCAAGAGTGGCCGCGATCACTCCAGAGTCTAGGTGTTGCAACGGTGGTGCTCGATCTGGCCTCAGAGTAGTAGGCTTCAAAATTCCTTTGGAAGCCGCAGACTTCTCGACAACGTCTTTGTCCTTGCCAACACGCAGGGTAGCCTTCGGCTTTGGTGCCTCCTTTGTAGGCGGGGCGGAAACGCCTCCGCCGACTTGGCCAGCTGCGAGAAGATCTTGGAGGTTCCGCTGCATGGAAAGAACCATCTCTTCGAGCTTCGCCATTCGAGCGTCTGGATCGACTGCAGGAGGCGGAGCCACAAATGCATGGTCGCCCGACTCCGCTGACACAAATTGGAACTTCTCCACCGCCAACGTGTGCAGCCCTCCCGGATGAGGAAGCAAGAAGCCTGACTCTCCTCCTCCAAAACTGTAAGCAGGCGCACTGACAGACGGGTAGGATTTGCCGCGAACCTGGCCGTTCGCCATTGAAGTTATATTACAATTTAGAGAAAATCCGGCGCCCGTCCAAAATCGGGATTCGACCGGCTATCCTGTGCTACGAGAAAGCCTTTCAAGGCAATCCTGTGCTACGAGAGGGCCTTTAAAGGCAATCCTGTGCTACGAGAGGGTTCATTTGGACACCAACAGACCCACCCATATTCTGAGCTCTTCGCCCTCGACAGGTGAACGCTGATCGGCATCGACTGCAGCTACGGAACAAAGAACCGCCTTGGACAAAGCGTGAGCAGGCAGCACGCGCTTGGAGCGCACTCGATCCCATGCTTGCTTCGGCAAAGCCACCAACACTCGATCTTCTATGAGACAAAGGGCTAGCAGCTCGACTGTCGTCCCGACTACGGCCTCGACCTCAAAAGCTCCAACCTCGTAGTGCTCGTCCCAGGAACCGTCGAGATCCAGCACAAGATGGTCCCGCAAGGCTCCCAGCAATCTAGGGTTTTCTTCCTCGGCTTGACGGCCCCCAGAATCACCGTCAAGCTCCTCCAGCGGCGAAGACATCAAGGCACGGAGGCAGGCCAGTCAAGGCCTGCTGCAGTAGCTGCAATCCGTCCCTCTCGCACCGTTGGCACACCAACAAAAACTGAATCACCAAATTCTCCAGCCCTGGCACACAAATCCTTAGCAGCCGTGTAGGAGGTGACCACCTTGATGGGGTTGTAGAGCTGTCCTGAGAAATCTCTGGCGATCAAATAATACTTCGACCCGAGCTGACGGGTCTTCTCGCGACCGGAGAGGCCGCGTGCCGCGCCGTCCAAAGAACGGCGGATGAAGCCTCCAATCTCCCTGGCGACTTGCTCTCGAAACGACCAGGTCAACTCAGAAGGGGCACCACGATCAGCCAGAGTTTCCGGCTCTTGCACAAAGCTCCAAGTAGATGATGGGGCTCCACTAGCCACAAAAGGAACGCCTTCGTGGAGATCAAGGGCTTGAGAATAGCTCAGCGTCGGGCCTCTCCTAGCAAGCTCTGACAATCGATCTTCCTGGCGCTCAACTCGTGCAGCAAGCGAATGATAATCTTCTCTGAGAAACGAAAGCTCAGCTCGAAGCGCCTCCAGCTCCCGTTCCATGCCAAGCCAGCTCACTTGGAGATGGCAGATGCCCCGAAGACCCAGGAGTAAACACAGCGCCTCCAGCGCTGCCGCACCAACCACAAGATATCAAGGAGCGGACCTCCCAATGATCCGGCCAGCAATCCTAAAAAGAACCAAGCCGCACGAGGCTCTTGCAACAACAAATCCAAGATACCTCGAGAGCAAATGCAGCTTTCCTCAGGCAGGTGGTCCTCCAGGCTCGATCTCAAAAGATCGAAAGCAAGCGAACTCAACGCTCCAGCCGAGCCGCCTATTGCCAAGGGTCTATGGGCCATACACTTAAGCCCAGCAGCTGCGGGCCGTACTCGAACGTGCATGAGGACATATGTATAAATGTAATCTAATTTTAGTCATTTATAATATACTAATATATATTTTCTAATTTGATTCCATGGAATTACAATTTAAAGAGTTAATTCCTGATATTCTTTAGAAAATAATATATATTAACTATATATTTCGAATATTGAATAATTCTTCTATTCCTTCCTGCCCGAATTAATTACAGATATGGATCTTCTTCATGTTGTTAATTACCTCAAGGACAAAAGCCAAATATTCCTGAAAGAAAACCGTTCGCCGTTATTGGCATGACACTCGGCATGAGCATGTTTCAGAAAATTCTAAAGAACCAAATCAAACACATGTTCTTGGTTGCGATAGGTAGCACAATTTTTGATTTTTGTGCCTGCCTCCATGTTTTTGGACGAGGCCGTCAAGAACCAAGCCATCAAAGCGTGTCTCAAGTGTTTCATGCTGATGGTAAACCATGACAATCATGACAGGAGGAATTCGAGGCTTGCGCCGAATCGTTGACAGGCTAGGACTAGGAACACCAAGGCCTAGATCGAAGTGATGAGCAAATCCACTCCGCACACAGAACCAGTGACAGTCACTACTTTGTAAAGTTCAAAGAAGACGCCAATGTCTCCTGCAACGGCTCTTGCTTCTGTCGGTACAATTCAATAGTCACCAACCACAACCATAGCCGACCATATCCCTAAGATGGCGCAGGGATTGCTCGAAAGGTCATGCAAAATGAGCCGAAGCACTACAAACTGAAGGTAGCACCTCTGCAAGCTCCCTTTCGCGGTTCCAGTTCATCTGTTCATCTTCACCTAGGACCTATGAGATAGAATCTGAATCTGTTTGGGAACTTAGAGTCCCCAACCATCCCCCAGCACGCAAGGGGTCCTTTAGCAGTTCTGGCCCTGACAGCGCGGCCGGCTTGGGATTTGGCACAATGCCCACCATAGCGTGATCGGGACACGGGTCCAAGTCAATGGAGCCAAATGCTGCCATCCTCACAGCGGAATAATGGCCGGCACTTCCAGCTTGCACATGCATATTCATCCAACGGTATTGGTTTCCATATGTTTCCATCGTTTACATCAATCATTTTCTGTCGACCGGATGCTTTCTGCGGTCGGCCCCGTCAATTGAACATATGTCGAGATGATTCCAATCCCTCACGAGCGGGAGCTTGGCAGCCAAGGCCATTTTGGTCTTGAATTTTAACACCAGTGGGCCGTTAAACTGATCTGTGAATTCCTTAAACTCGATGGAATTCGTGAAGCTCTCTCCATGACGGAATGAGTTGGCCCAAGGCATTATTGTCATGCAAATGTGACTGTACTTGGCAGGCTTCCTGAATCGGGCCACCCCGTTGTAAGCTGCCTGGAACCTGAGCTCGCCAACAATTGGGCCACCGAGACAATGTCGAGTAGACCTGTGCCTTGTTAGTGCTACAACGCTGCGGTTGCTGCATGCCAAATGGATCCATGGATCCAAGGTTCAAAGGGTATGTTTGTGCTGACCAGTGAGACAAGGTACGCTTCCAGTTGGACAATGATTGTGGCAATGACATGCTTGGCGGCTCCGCAGCTGAAAAGGTCGGGCACTTGAAAAGAGTTTCTCGACCCCTATCTTAAATAAACAATAATTACATACATATATAGACTCAAGATAGGCCTTCTACTCCTTCAGCAGTCCGTACGTAGCGGTTCAAGGGCGCGATTTCCCGCATGCCTGCTTCCCAGAAGGTTGGAAGTGGATCAAACATTTGAGCTCGGGTGGTTGCGGCTAGTGCTTCACAAAGGGTCACTCTTCTTGCTGCAGCTTATGAGCCGACATACCAAATAATCCTAGCTTCCGAGCAGTGCAGACCCCTGCACTATGTTGAGATAGACGACACCGGCCCAAATTTGCATGGATTTTGGATAATTTTGCAACCTTCATCGGTTTCCCAGCACGCGAGAACTCGACAGCTTCATGCCCAGCCCCAAGTCCTTGCTACTCATGATGGATCAGGATGCAGGATAGTGACAAGTGGCACATAAATGATTGAAGATCAACATACCATTTACCGTGTCGCGAGTAATTCTTGCAGCCACGGCATAGTGGTTGGGCAAATGCAATTTTGCAAAGCAAGTCCATCAACATTGTCATTGAAAATGATCTGAGTTGAGGCATAGGTTTTTCTTTGCAAAACCCTGCCATTCCATCACTTTGCCTCAACCATCTGAATTCAGCATCTCACAGATGCAGGTGGAGTTCTTGTGAGAATGGCTGCCCCTCTGCTCGCACACTCCCACAAATTACAAATCCAGCAACCATTATTGCCAGGCTTCGTGCTGGACTTGAAACATAGTCACATGGTCGGCGGCCCTTCATTTCAGGAATGGCTGAAGATTGGCTTAGAGGCCTAAAGAAGTCGTCAGTGCGTTGGCATATGTTTTGGACTTGGAGCCTGCGTTGAAATGAAACGGCCGTGCCGAGATTTGCACAAGCATCAGTTGTGACCCAGGAAATTGCAGCACGGTAAGACGATGCACATTGCAGGAGGAAACCTGCAGCTCTGTCTTGTTATACACCCCTGGCATAAGCTTTTTGCAAAATCCCTCATGTCCGATGGTGAGACAGTAGAACGTGCCCGACGTCATTTTGAAGAGTTGCCTTGAGAAAAATAACGTTCTCTAGAGAATGCGCCGATTTCACAGGATGGACACACGCTGGTCACATGACACATGGACACACTTTGACTCGGCTTTCATAGCACCAAACTGCTAGACTTTGATGGCATGGGTTAATTAGTTTCAAGTAGTTCACAAACAAAACACAGGGGCACCTGCATAGGATGCAACACAAACCTACGAGTCTGTCTGGCTCATGAGAGAGGGGCTACTGCAACAGCTATATAGTTCTTGTCGAAACGCACCTCTACCTGTGTTGAATGTTAAGAGCCAGGCAAGGACACCTGCACATCGTATGCTGCACAAAAATTGAAACACCAGCCAAGGACCAGAAGCATACCCGCACTGAATTTCCTTTTCACATGGAATTTCAATTTCCAGTGACATCAATTGCTGAGGCTTCAGTGAACTGGGGCAAACCTCCCTAGTCCAGGGCTACTATCATATTTCCAGGCAGTCAAGCCATGGCTGCCCCATCTGTGCAAGCCTGAACGGCCATAGCGCGGATCCAAACCGCGCGTTGGCATCAGTTCCACAATCAGGACTTTTGCTATCCTGTCCTAGTGGAGCTGACGCCGCAACTGATCAACTGCTGCTAAGAGTTTTGCACGAAACTCAGCACCTGTCTGGCTATGTCCAGCTACACCGATCAAGCCTGCAATGCTCATTCGAGTCATCGTTTTGCGGATGCAAGGTAGCTTGGGGTGTTTCTTGGCTGTGCAAGACCTTTGCGAAGCACGCTCCATCTCCAAGAGCTCTAACAACTCCCGAGCCGGCTCTTCCAACCCCAGTTCTGCAACC